AGAATTTATTGTTTGCTTTTACGTTCTGTTTGGTGCATCCAATTTTAAAAGAAGTAGAAATATTTCCATCTATTCCTGATTCCACAGTAGTGAATCATAATCTAATAGTAGAAAATGTTCTCACTTTGCAAAAAATCATAGCAATAATGGAATTTATGCTTGAGAAAATCATACATGTAACTTACAACCATCTAAGATGAATGTTTTACTACTTTGACTTTAAATTATTTTTTCCTTATTCTTCAACAATTTCTATACATCTGGAAGCTCTATCTTGTTGATTATACTTGAAAGCAGTAAGCAATACAATAGAAATCTAATTTTCTGAATATAAAGGTTCCCCTGGTTGATCTATAATGTCAGTAGATTTCTCATGTTAGACCCTTTTCAAAACCTTAAATCTTGAGTTCAGAGTCCTCACTTAAATCTTGACAATTGCTTTCAGGCCCATCAACACAAGAATAAACACATTTCTTCTCTTTCAGCTATAGAATCATATTCTCTTTATATCTGTTAACATACTTTTTCAAAAGAAAAGAACTTTGTTTCAAAACAAAAAAAAACCTCTTTTTTATTTAGTTCTACTGGGACAGTAAGAACAAAAATACTTCCAACTTAATGGTATATCTTAATTCCCTAAGAATGAGGAACAAAAATAGAACTGAGGAACTGAAGTGGAAATGGGCAATATAAAAAAAATCCCTCTAAGATGAAGTTAAGGGGCTTTTCTAGTGCATACCATGGCTCTATTTCACAGCTACTGCAGAAGTTTTAGAGCCAGTCCCTGGTCATTTAGGATGCCTCAGGGTTCCATTTTAGATGTCATTAAGAGTAACAGTCGAAGCATTTTACTTGTCAGTCTTTGTCATTTCAATAACATTTTTCACAATCATGTTAATTCAGTCGGTGTTGCGATGAGATAAAATAATTATTTCTTAATAGCTATTATTACTATCCATGGTGAGCGAGATTATTAATTTATCCCCAGGCAATCAATTAGCCATATGTACAGGGATAAACCTAATCAACAAAAGTTCGATGTTATTATTACTCATATATATAAAAAGGTTTACTCCTTAATGTATTCTATATGGCAAGACTCTTCTCTAACATTGGTAGTAGATGAGCATATCTTAGCCTGTTTTATTGCAAGCTTTGGCATATATACTCTAAAAGAGGGCACTTGACAAGCCAGCATTCAGTAGGCGCTACAGCCACCAATATCTTTTCTGCAGTCACCAGATGGGCTCTATACATGCTCAGATAGCTATCTCTTCTAATACTTTCAATAGGTTCTCCTACTTGTGACTTAATAGTGTCAACAGAAAGGCTTTCTTGAAAAAAAAAAAACACACAAAATGGAATGAAATTATATACACTCAATTTTATTTATTTTAATATATAAAAAATTAAAACAACAAACTCATGTAATTCTGTTTCGTTGTCTAATCTTTCCTGACTAAGCAGTTTATAAAACATTTAGCTGGATGTGGCTGTGAGTCCTTTTTAAGAAGTGGGGTGGGATAGAGGGACGAATAGTAAGAAAAGACAGAAACCCAGGATTTTACACATCTGGTTCTGTTTGGCTGATAAGACAAGACAGGACCTAGGGATCTTTTAGCTTGGGGAAAAGTACTATGCCTCACTCTCCTTTTATGTACATCTACACATACTCACATCCTTCTTCCCACCATTTCTGAATGATCCCAAGGAAAACACATACACAATGATAAAAGCATTTGGAAGACTGCTTCTTTGCTGTCTTGGGCTTTGTTCTCACACTGCTAAGTAGAATTTTATCCCTATGAGCTGGAGTAGACCTTATAAAAGAAGTCCTTTATCCAAGAGGGGGCAATCTAGCATGCTGTTCCCTCTCCTTCATCCTAATAACATCTACTCGTCCCTTAGGTCCTTACCTGTGTCTGGGAGCCTTCCCTGCTTTGTACGCTGGGCTGAATGCCTTTTGGATTTGCTGTTTAAATACCATATCCTTCTTATGAAATCTCAACACACTTGTAGTATTTGTTCAATATCTTCTTCCATACTATATTGTAAGCCCCAAGGGGCTGAGTACTATAACTGTCTTGTTCACTTCTATATCTCCAATTCTTAAAACAATAACTGGTGCATAATGCATTCTCAATAAATATTTGGTGAACGAGGATTAAGTAAACTAATATATGTAAAGTGCTCAGTTTAATTCCTGGCAGATAGAGGTGCCCAATACATGTTAGCTACTAGTATATGAACCATCACACAGATCTGTGCAGTACCAAACCCTAAACATGTTGAGCTTCATTGGTAGATGTTTTGAAAGAATGTCCACTGCCCATAATACTCAGAATGATATTTCTGCAGGCTCCCAGTTCTCTTCTGTCAAACGAAGTTGCGTCAGTAAAGCAGGGATCAATAACCTCTGGCTTCCTAAAAAGACAAAACAATTTTAGCTTGGATAAGACCAGAAGAGAGGACCCCCACTACCACTACAAAACACTCTACCTGACCTTCTCCCTCTCCAACTTCCCGTGGTTCTCTGAAGCTCTGCTCTTGAGCATCTCATTGCTACAGCTTTTAGGCTAAATTACAGCATTCTATTTTTAGTTATTTCTCAGAATATATGGTATGGTCTGCAGTGTGTCTAAATGCTGTAATAATGAGCTTTCATGCAATCAAATTCCATAGTTATATTTAACTTGGTTCCTTGCGTTGAAGCTGAGGCTTCTCTATTCATTGTATTTGTGTTTGCTTTCAAACCAAACAGGAATGTAGTCTGAACTGGACCAGAAGTTGTGGGGTTGCCCTGAGGTGTTTTCATACCTCAATCCCCATTTTTTTGCTGGAGGGGATGAAGCTGACCACACTTTAGTTTTAAACACTTCCTAGTGATTCCAAAGAGAATAGCTGTGAAACCACTAAATGATACCTTATATTCTTGTATTTTCAATTGAGAATTTAGTTTGGTTCACACTTACCTTAAGTGTCACCCTTGTGCCTGGCTAGTTTGTACTTTATTCTGTAGGAAATGGTGTGGGGGAGACTCTGAACTCTCTGAGCAGGTAGAGAAATTATCAAATACGTTCTAAGAAGGTGAATCCAGCAGCAGTGTGAAAAGACAGGTTGAGGGAGTGGAGAAAGACAGAAAGAAGGCAGGTGGGTTAGGAAGGTATGGCAGTTCTCCAGTAGAGGAGTTCTAAGGGCCAGAATCAGAGGATAGATGGAGAGGATGGAGCCCCAAGACCAGAGGAGAGGTGGTGAGGATGGAGTCCCAGGACCAGGGGAGAGGTGGTGAGGTTGGAGACCCAGGACCAGAGGAGAGGTGGTGAGGATGGAGACCCAGGACCAGAGGAGAGGTGGTGAGGATGGAGACCCAGGACCAGGGGAGAGGTGGTGAGGGTGGAGCCCTGGGACTAGAAGGGTAGAGGTGAGGATGGGAGGAGGGCACAAATTCAAGAGCTACTTCAAAAACAGAATAAGATGACTTCGCAACATGAAGAATGCAAGGGATGAGAAACAGATTTTGACCCTGGATACCTGGGAACCTGGTTGTATCAATACTAAATATGGGGTAAATAGGTAAAAGGTAAAGTTTATGGGGGAAACTTATCTTTGGAACAAACTGAATTTGAGGTGATCGCAAGACGCAGGCTGCTGGAAATGTGAGCTGGAGTTCAAGAACAATGTTAGGACTGCCTCACAAGTACAGTGACCATGGTGTCATTCCTTTGGATGGACTGGTTCCTTTTGTCGCTCCGTAAATGGCACATGCTTTAAAGTCATAGTCAAGTTTTTCTTTAGAAGGTAGAATATTACAAATAAGAGCCTCTGACTTTGTCCTGAAGTAGTCTCAGGCATTGCAATTTATCAGTCACCACCTTTGACCTTCTATAATAGATGCTTCATATGGCTTTTCTATTTAAATCATAGAAATTTTGGCCATTTTAGAAAGTAAATAATAGGTTCCCATGGTTAAGGACCAAGAAAGTGTGGGGGAGTTGGCTGTGTTTATACAGCCAGTTATCCGTGTCCTTGTCCCTGGGCCGCTGCATCCCCACTGGAGCAGGTTTCCAGACCCTGCACTTGGGGGACACCAGGTAACTTACTGTCTCCTGTTCTATCTCTGCAGTACAGCTTGTTACTGTGCATTCAGAATTGTTCTTTAAAAACATTTTGCATGCCTTTGGTATCTTAGTTATATAAAGTTAATTCCTTCTAAAGTTCTGAACGTTAAAAATGTTTGCTTTTCTTCCCTACTTTCTTGAGAGTCTAATTATAGTCACTTTATGGTCACTTCTACCAACAATGTTCTCGATGTTTATAACCAGTCTATAGTTTCTACTCATACACAGCATAACCAGTCTCTTCTTCCCCAAAAAATGTTTTTTCATGGCAACAGTTTTAAGCATAGCATGGATTGCTAACTGAAAGGGATCGTTGCATAAAAAGTTATGTGTTGGGCTTCCCTGGTGGCGCAGTGGTTGAGAGTCCGCCTGCCGATGCAAGGGACACGGGTTCGTGCCCCGGTCCGGGAGGATCCCACATGCCGCGGAGCGGCTGGGCCCGTGAGCCATGGCCGCTGAGACTGCGCGTCCGGAGCCTGTGCTCCGCAATGGGAGAGGCCACAACAGTGAGAGGCCCACGTAGCGCAAAAAAAAAAAAAAAAAAAAAAAAAGTTATGTGTTGTCAGCCTCCACGGGGTCCTTTAGCAACACGAACTGATCTTTTACCTTTCATGCTACTTGTCCATCACCAGCCTCTTAGGATTGATGAGGAATCAGTGCAAGTCGGGAGAACAAATAATACACAAACACAATGCTGTTTATAGCGTTAACAGTGCTATAAGCCAGGCTCATATATATTCAAAGCTGCAATAAGCCAGGCTCATCCCATTGGTGATCCCCAGTAGAGTACAGTTTAATTAAGTGGTCTATGAGACGACTTCCCTTAACATTGTAGAAATGAATGCTTTCTATTTTTGGCTTGTTCCTTTTCCTACTGTATAGATGCCTTGAACCTCCGAAACCGACAGGTCATCTGCGTCACTCTCAAAGTCCTACAGCATCTGGTTGTGTCTGCTGAGATGGTGGGTGAAGCTTTGGTGCCCTATTACCGTCAAATCCTCCCCATCCTCAACATCTTTAAGAATATGAATGGTGAGCTAATATCCCAGAAGTCAAAATGTCTTTTAAGCACTAAGAAAGGGAGTGGTTTGAGGTAGAGTTAATTAGCAACATGCTTAGGATTTATTATTGCATATAAAGCAAGATCCATTCGGAGATCTAAACAGCATAACTCCTACCTCTTCTCCTGCCACTCCCTAGGGAAAGAGTAAAATTAACAATTTCATTTATTTATTACTCCTCACATGTACAGCTTACTTACTCGGTACAGAAGCACTGAAACAGTTCTATAATCTTCCCATAATTAAATTGTAAAGTTTTTTTTAAACGGTCTTCTGAATACATTAGTAGGTTTTGAGTTTGTCCTTTCTCTTGGCGGTAATTCTACCTTTAGGTATTTCCTGTTAAAATTACAGTCAGTTTTTATAATTAATTTAAGAGGAATTTTTAAAGCAATATTATTAAAATCTGGTACAGGCGATTTGGAGAGTTTTAATATAAGTTCTATTTCTATTTAAAAAAAGAAAAATAGATGATTCGTAGTTACTTAGCTGATGGTGCGTGCTGATTAAATATGTATGTGCTGATGTATTTGTTTTTTAAAGTAGTATTCTATAAGGTTTGGAAAGCACTGATGCACTGAAGTGAATCTGTTTCACCCAAGGGTATTAGCAAGTTGTGGTGACCTCCTGGCAGGCAGTGGATGTACCTCTGTTCATTGACACTGTGATTTTCCTTTTGTACCTCTTGAAACGATGTGAATCTAATTTTCTTTTATGTTGCTAACTTTGAAGTTCCGTACTTCTTATATGCACGGTGTAAGCCAACATTTGAAGTTAATTTCTGACAGCCATGTAAGTAAGTTAGTAATTTAGTGGAACAGTGCATGAAACTTTTGCAACATGATCTGCTTATTGTACAGACAAGAAAAAATCAAACTAAAAACTGAACATATGACAGCTTCAATCACAAAGAAGTCCTGTTTCTGGAATCATTATTTTTCATATATTTCCTAAATTGCTATTAAAAGTCTCCCTAATCAGGCAGACTATTCAGGAAATCATGGGATCATCAGAGTCTTTAGCTGTCTTTCAGGAGTAGGGCCTCCCTATATGTTTAATATTAAACATTTTTAGTAAAAAGGACTTCAACTGGGGTTATGGGAGCTTAAGAATGCTCATAATGGAATGAATTGGTATCCATTCAAAAATATCTAAACACTACAGAGTTAATGTGGTCATTTAGATGAGATGGTCACTCTTTCAGGAAAGTAAAAACTGGGTGTTAGTAATTCAGTCTTTTACAATCTAAACTGAAAGTTTTAGTAACAGCATTTCTACTTTGTGGAAAATACTTGCTTAAATATTCTTGATTCATAATTCATATTTTTACTGCATAGCGGCATCAAATAAGAGATAGATATAAAGACAGGAATGCTAGAGATAAAGACAGAAATGGAAGAATCAGGGAACACTCACCCCCAGAAGTCTCAGTTATAGTTAACACTTTTGAAGTGTGTGATTCACAAATGTTTCCTCAATAGTCCTCACAGAAACCTATGATGTACGTCCTATTACTATTTCCATTTTTTAGCTGCAAAAGTTGCCTCTCTGTAACTCTTCCCCTCCATAAACATTTGCTTCTGTACTTGCCTCTCATGGAAGATGAGTGCCAGCATCCCCCTCCCTTGCTTGAGTAGGAGTAGGGGGACGCCACGGGCGTTAATGCTCTCCTTGTCCTACAATAGGATCCGGAATTTAAATCTAAGCAACATTTTGTATCTTTGTATAAAATAAGAAAAACAGTGATATTCAAAAGATGATTAGAATCTCCCTCATCCTCAAGGAACCCTGTAAAGAAGAATAAGCACAGCTGCCACTAAGACAGATAAATCTCTTGGGAGCTCTAGACTATTAAACAAAAACAATTGGTTTCTACATATTCCTCATTATACTACTTATTTAATTCTTTAACTTAAAAATGTTCCTGTGCTTCGCAAAAGCAGTGACTGAGTTTAGGAATACATCCCCTGTTTATTTACTGTTTATATCATGGCCTTAATTGGTCCCACACCTAGCTGATTATTTTGGAACATTTCTAACATTTCCTAACATTTCCAGGAATTCTACATTCAACTATTTTTCTGGTTAATATCTTTCTGACATTTGAGCGGAAAAACTATTAGCTTCAGCTTCATTTTCTACTTATCTTAGAAACCTGTCAGTACAATGCCAGAATGCAGTTTGCTGTATTTCTAGAGGGTCATCTTACAAAATTGGAGCATTCTAGCTCTAAAACTTAAAACTATTCTTCAAAGTGGCTGTTACCACAGATCCAGTTCTACCAGTAGAAGCTTATCACAGGATTTCCAAATACAATACTATTTTCAGTCTAAAAATAATTTAGCTTTAATAGTATTTTAATAAACCTTGCTTTATGATTATACTTTATTCATATTCACAGAACCATATATACATTTTTATTTAAGCAGGTGTCTTTAGTAACATGTATTTAGTTACAATTAAAAATAAATTAGAAATGTACAGCATGTAGCATTAGAAAAAATATTTCATCCTTAATTTCAATGTATCTGAGAACAATTTCATATTCTGTTTCCTTTTTCCCTACCTTCATGTAATCAATGTCTTGTTAAATTCATATTCAAAGATATATTTTTCCAGTCCCACAACAAAATATTTTTGAGAGTAAGACCCAATATAAATGACCAAAAGAATGAAAGAGAGAATATTCCTTCAAATATAATGACCTTATCCTTCCGTTAATGTTCCCTCGAAGCACAAGCTTGAGCATAATTTTGCTGCCTGCTCCTTTTTGCAATTTCTGTCCTATTTTAATGTCAGCTGGACTTTCTCTGAAATGATCAGAGGGGCTGAGTAGCTAGCGAATGCACAGCCATGTCAGCAGTCTTCCCAGGGGACCAGTGGGAAATAGGTAGACCGGGGGGAGCACATGACACTGGTAGCACCAACCGGTGTCCCCATCCACACTTCTACAGGTAATGAAACTTACTGCCAGCCCCACAAGATCAGTCCTGGTCTAGGAGAAAGAGTGGCTTTGTATTTCTATTTATAAATAACATACTTTCACAGGTTTTAATTAGGCTATAGTTAAAACAACAACAGACAAATCAGTGAATTGCAATGTGGAATAAAGAGTAATATTTGGGAGCAGAAGAGATGTGACCTTAGGCAAATCATGTGACTTCTCTGAACTTAAATTTCTTCATCTGCACAAAATATTTATAGTAACGTCTTTTTCATAACGTTGGCAAAACAATTTGAGATAATGTACACCCCTTCATGTGGGGCCTGGCCTTGACCGAATATTAAATGAGATAGTCATTATTATCATACAACATTATATACACATACAATGTTATTCCTGTATGATATTATATACAAATATAGCAATACTGTATAAATTAGTATATAGCAGCTTGAAGAGGTGATTTAATGTATTGTATCCCCTGGTCACTTCTGTGAGCCTGTGAGTGAGGCATGACCTCCTGATTTCCCCAGCGGCTGCAGTCCCTTTGCTTCGAAGGACTCACCTTGCCTCTGACTACCAAATGCCAGGTGGGTGGCCAGATAAATTAAGGACAATGGGATTCATTCAAGGATAACTGGTTTTCAAATCCATCCCTTCCTGGCAAGCTGAAACGTGTGAGTGCGGTTTGGGGGAAGGTCATTATCTTAAGAAGAGAAGCTGAGTGTGACAAACCAGGATCAGGGCCCTCTTTGGAAGATCCAAGCTAGTATCTAAGCTTGAACTTGTTTCCTTTCATTCTAAACAGTGAAGTCTGGATATCTAAGACATGCTGTCTTTCCAGTGACTGCTGTGGGGTGAAAGAGAAAGAAGAGTTTCTATAACAACAATTTCTTCTATCCTGTGTTCTTTCACAAATGTTATTAAAGTTTACAGAAAATTAAGACAATAGGAATGCTCAATTTATAGCTTTCAGAGATGAAACTACAAAATTAATGATGCAGTGTATTGCATTTGAGAAGCTTGAGCCAATAAATGGCATTAAAACATTTACAGCTAAAATATGGGGCTCTGCCAGCAGATTAAGGCTATCCAACAACCGTGTGTTTTGGAGGCAATCCTTATTTTGGTACTTTTGTTTCTAATTGCACCAGCAGTCCTAAAACAACCTCTAAGGGATATAGTTCAGAGACTCCAGGTATCAGCAGCTCTAAGAGTACATTAACTTTATGTCACAGAATATGCAAAGTAAATGTAATAATGAAATAACATGTTCCCAAGTGTGTGAAATCAAATAGTCTTTGATTTATCTAGGATACTCTAAGATGTATGCCATAGACTAATAGAAGTCCATGAAAAGAGATTTAAAATTTCCAATTCAAATTCAGACACATTAAATAACACAGGAAATGAGAATGCATTAAATTTGCAAAACACTTTGGAAAGTTTGTACCAGGTCTTTCGTCCTGAAATTTAAGTAGTTTCTAAAAAATAGAACCAACTGTTTTCTACTGATAGTCTTTTAAAACAACTTCTAGGGAGAGCCTAAGAATTCTCAGTCAACCTGTTTCAGACCCTCTTTAGATATTTTTTTGAGTTCTGTGGTACCTATTTTCATGGTCCTTTAAACTGCTGATGAGCTTTTAAGAGCTGATTATTCACCAAAAATGTCTTTAGTTCTTATGTCTTATAATTGACTTGTATAAAGTTTATTTCACAGAGCTTTTAATTTAATTTTGAATTAAGGTTTATTCCCCCATGGAATGCTATACAATTTTTAGTGTGATTTAGAAATTTGCTTCAAAGCTCCTTTGGAATCATTAGGCTTATTAGATTTGAAAGTCTTTGAAAGTCCTAAGTTTATTGAGGAAAGTATTAGAATACTACTCCAGCATTCCTGAAAGTTAGATTTGGAATGATCATGTATCTATCTAATCTCTTCTGAACTCTTCTTCCACTCTAGTTGGTCTGAAAAGAATCCTAGGATCCTAACCAAGCTGGCAGATCCATGTAGGTGCCCTTTGATC